GGAGTTGGAGTTGATGTGTGGCTTTCAGTTACCTGAACTCTGGACTGCACTGGATTGGATTGGAGTGTTCTTGCCTTGGCATATCGTCGCCTAATTTGTGGAAAATTGAGATTTATGGCCCGCAATTTCGGAGCTTTGTCTAGCTCTTAAAGTTGCCTACGAAATTTAAATGCACAAACCCAGCCAACCCAGCAAAGGGTTAACACATTGGAGCTCTCTTTTAATTATGATTAATGAGCGGCTAATGACTGTGCCCTCGCCCTTCGATGCGGCATATCAATGTCACACATCAGCGACTCCTATCGCTGAGAGCGCTTGCAAATTTATAGAAAACTCACTGCTAAAGCGGAAAGCAATCAATAATCGATACGTACGAGAGAATATATTTAAATCCTAACATATTGCTGCTTAAAAAAATAAAAAATAAAAAGAGGAATGCAAACATAACGACAATTTCACGCTACAAATGTTTCGATTAACAATTTCTCGTTTCCTTTTTATGTTTTGTGTCGCTTTGGGGTTGCCAATAAACCACACCCCAATCATTCCACATATGAACCCAAAGCGAACTCCGGCTACGCCCCTCACCTCACTCTGTGTGCAAAACTGTAAGTAACGGAGAAAACAAAATACGGCGAAGAGTGAAGGAAGGACTCGGACTCGGAATCGGACTCGGGCTCGGGGACTCTATTTGATATTTGCTGAAGCACGACAATGAATAATAACTACATGGAATGCATATGGTAGCAAAGCAAAAAAATAGCAAGGATAAGGACGAAGCAGGGCACAACCCTGAAAGGATTGGTTGCAATTTAAAATCTTTTTTTGTGGGTTGAAGATTGAAGGGTGAAATATTTATTGCTACTTGGTTGAGGGATAATGAAAAAGAGCAGTTAAAGAGTGCAGTAATGATAGTTGCAGTTTCTATATCTTTCAGTTATTATCTATCTCAATATCTCTATCCGATAAACACAATTGCAGCCCCTGCCGCACTTACTTTAAGCGAAAACTGCACCAATAAAAACTTTTGCAAATATTTCATATCGGAGACAAAGCCCTGCACTTGCACTCTGTGCTCTGGTGTTTCAGTATTTATTTGCCATTTGCCAGAGACTTGTTTCATATTTATCAACGTCTGTGGCAAATAATTTTATTAACTTTGGCGCAAAACTTCAGGCGAGAGGAGCGAGGAGAGAGCAGCCCAGACCAGACCAGACACTGAACTGTTCGCGAAAAGTTGCAGTAGGTACAGTTTCGTTACCTTTTGCTTTCCGACCAGGGACAACTTTCCCAGGACAGCGCACTGGCAAACTATCTGTAGGGCATATTTTATTATTATCCTTTCGCACAAATAAATATACTTTTGCGCAAATTACAAAGAGCACAACTAACTGGTGACTTTAAGTTGGAAAAAGGCATCCACTATATACTCGTATATATCTATGTCCGTTCCCAGTCGCCTTGCTGCTGCTGCTGCTGCTGCTGTTGGGCGGGCTGTGCGACAAAAAACTTTCGTCCAGATCTAATCAAAAATTCACTTAAAAAGTTTGCACTCGCAGTATGAGGCTGAATGACTTCAAGTGCAACCTTCGCAGTCTTCGCTGCTCGTTCTTGTTCTTTTTTTTGCGTTGTTGGCCTGTGGGGGCATTGTTGCAGTTTCATTGTTGCACAGAGGACTTCCTCAACCAGCACTTAATGAAATCTTCCAAGGGCCAGGCCCTCGTTTTTAGCGACAGTAGCGAGAGAAGTTAACTAAAGGCAGCCAGGAAGTCGGCAGTGGGAAACACCTTATGAGGTGGGTGAGAATTTGAAATGAAATGGAAATGTTCCACAAGAGGAACTACAAGAGGAGAACTTCTTTAGCGCTTAATTATGTATCCACACTCGAATATAATTTACCTTCCAGCAGCAACACTCCATCAAGCACTCAATAAAGCTCCAATGACAATCCTTAACCGCAACAAAAATGCCATTTTGATTACCATCATCATAGCTGCAATCTCCTTTGCCTTTCATTCCAAAGTGTGAATGAAAATTGCAGTACAATCCCCCAACAATGCTCGAAAATCATTTAAAATCGCTAAAAAATCGCCAACTTGACTGCCACATTGAAGAGTGACATAAATGAAGTGCCAATTTTAATATCCCGAATGCTAAAAAATAAACCAGCAAATTGAGCAGCTGCAACGGGGCGCAGACGGCGGGGCAGTCTCCTGGGCAACGTGGAGCAACACAATGGACCCTCCATCCCTCCTTTTCCTCCCCTGCCTTCGTTCTGGAACAAATTGCATAAAAAATTTCGCGCACACTTAAAACATTTTCAAGTGCAGTGCCAAAGTCCCAGCCAGGAAGGAATCAAGGAAGGCTGGCGGTAGAGGGCGGTGGCTATAGGAGCTGTCTGGCTGAATTCTCCCTCATTTTAGTACTTTTTGCCTTTTTAAATTTGCACAAAATTGCAAATAACTTGCAATCAAGGTGCATGGCAAGAGGCAGGAGTGGCACGGGCCGGGAGTGGGGGCAACTAACTTTGGAGTCACAACAAAATGGCGATGTCTGAGAGTTGAGTTTCATTTTGCTGGCAAACGTCTGGGAATCAATTTAAGTTAACTCGAGTCTATTGTTTCAGCATCGCTGGCCGCGCTTTAAGCTCTGCCAGACTTACTCTCCATGTATATCCAGTCCCTCCCCCTCTATCTTCCCGCTCCCCATCAGCCATCGGGCGTAGCTTTTGTCGTCAGCTAAGGAATTTTTATGAGCTGCCGACGCCTGCCCTCGCTGCCTGCCATCCTCGTCGGCTTTCTGTCGCACGAACTTCAGTCTCGACTCTGCTTGTTAATATTTCACCTAGATTGATACTGGGGAAAAAATCTGAGGCACATAAAGCGTGGCAGTGTGGAGAAGGACGCAACGCGAGAGGCATGCCGCCAAGTGGCTTGGTCCTGGGGGTCCACAAAGCAGCTAGGAATTTCATTATATGCACCCGAAGCCAAAGGACAAAGACATGTTTTTAATAGTTTCGCATGTTTGGGCTGCCGAGTTTTTAGCTCTTCTTTTTTTACAGTTGTTTTTTTTTGCTGCTGGTAGTTCCTCGCTTTTCGATTGTGCTCCGCTGCTGCAGTCTGGGCAAAAGTTTGCCAGATTTTTGCCCCTTGCATTTTGAATAGTTGCATTTTTAAGCAGTCCATGTAAAGAGCATAAATTCTGTTCGTGGGCCATGGGTTAATCATAATGAGTGGGTGAAGTCGTGTGTGTGCTCAAATATTTGTACTTTAAGGCTAAGGGGAATTATTATAGAGCTAATCAAACAGAGCTAAAGCGCTAGCCTTCGATTTAGTTGAATCAGTCTGCAGATTTCTTTCAGCTCAGCCATAACCGTTATACAATGATCAAAGCAGACACATAAAAAGAATTCCACATACATATTTATGTACATACATATGTACGTATGCATGTGCATGCTTTGGTTGCGTTCTGAGAGAGCGCCAGATTGACTCTCTCAGCTTCGAGGAGGGTTCGCTACCTGCTCGCTAGCTGCGACCAGCGCAGCAAGCTTTTAGTGATCAACGTGCGCAAAAAAACATGAACAGACATGCTCTGCGCTTTGTCCCGTTACAGCTTTGCAATGGCAAAAAAAAAAAAACATACATATGTTATAAATGAACCCAACCCTGATTTGCAGCGTGTACATAACTCAATCGAAATCGAAACCTTGTTGCACACACTCGTATATTAAGAGCAAATGTCAAAATTAATTGGAACACGTACGGACGGACGGCAGGGTTCACTTGTTGGCTCCCGTCTAACTCGTCTAACCCTTCGCCGTAACCCTTGGCCAGCCATCCAGCCATGTGGCCTGACTTTGTGCCACATTAACTTTCGTTTTCAGTTTTCAGTTTTCGATTTGCTTTTTCGACCATTTCTTTCATTTTCTGGGACGCGGTGGGTGTGGGTGTGGGTGTCTGGGAATGTTTGGAGAGACTTTTGCAGAGTCATCGCATGATTACGTCGATTTTGGGGCAGTGGACTCTGGCAAGTAATCATGTTGTGCACACATACCACCCCATAGTTTGCCCTCCATTACGTACGAGCAGAGCAGGATCGGTGGCAGGTCCTGGAGCAGCAGGCGGAGCAACAGCCGGACACAATTATCGGCAAAAAGGCTTTCAATTTCACTTGGTTTGCTTCGAGTAAACAGCTTTGGAGCTCCTTTAACCACTCCCACAGGGAGCCACTGGCCACTGGCTTTGGTTGGCCCCATTGGTTGGGTCGGTTTGGGTCGGCTTCGGTGGCGCTCAAGTCAAGCATGCAACAACCGCAAGCGGCACGCAAACGCATCAAATCAATGAAAGTGCCCTGCTATCGCTACCAGTACAACGTTGCCACCTTCTCCTCACTTCTTCGGCCACTCTTTTGCACTTCATTGAGTCGGCAACTGACCAGCAAAACGGGACCTAGGCTGGCTCCGTGTGCATACCGTAGTGCAGGCCAGTGAGAGCCCAATGAAGCTGAAGCCGAAAACGCTTCGAGCTCTACTTAAAGCATTTTCCATTCGCTTTATTTTGCCATCCCACAGCCACTGCAGAGCCTTTTCAGGCTGCAGCGAGTTTATGAAAATGAAAATTGCCAAGAAAATCGACCAAAAAATTCCTCATCCTCATCCAAAACATTTCCTTTCGGCATTTCAGGCTACGTAATTGCAGCAGCATGCGCTCCGTGCAATGCCCCACCCCACAGCTGCATCGAAATAGAAACCCTCGGCTCTATGCCTCTCTCAATATGCTTGATTTAATCTGAATACAAATCGCTTATCAGCCGAAAGAGTAGAGCGAAAAAAGCAACTCACAGAAGGAAAGACAAAGAAGAGTAACAGAAAAACTAGCACTGAATGAAGTGCAAGGAACAGAAAAAAATGAATCTTTAAAGTATGAAAATATTTAGTAATTATGTCATATCACATCCAAAAAAAAAACTAGAATAAATGTCTAAAATTAAAGATATCTATCTAAATGGGAAGGTCAACTTTCTTTGGTCGAAATTTCTTTACGATAACAGACTTTAGTGAGTGATATAAAGATCAGTTCAACGGCCGCAAATCATAATAAAGATATGGATATCCACGTAACTTTTGTCATGATGTGACATAAAATCTAACTATATATCCAACCATCTTTGACCTCGAGCTATGTGAGTATGCGGCACCATAGAAAAACGAATCCAATTACGAACCCCAACGAGGTTTGCATTGTGGAGGCAGTGCACTTGGCCAGCGATTGTTGCTCCCAGGCAATCTGGGAGCCGATGCCGTACTGATCGGCTGCCGCCTGAATTAGAGCTATTGTTGTCCGGTTAAGTTCTCGTTGGCGCGTGAAGAGCTTGAAGATGGGTATGGGGGATATGTTGCCGTAGCCGCAGACGAAGGCGTACGTGGTGTAGTCGGTGATTGCCAGTTTGTAGGTGACAATGATCTTTCCGTAGTGCAGCTGGAAGGTGCCGTATTGGGTGGCATTTTCCCAGGGAAAGTCGACCTGCTCTTCGGTATACTGCCAGCCACCGTTCACGGTGCTAATGTACTTCAAGTCCAGCGCAAAGCGATCCTCTACGATGGCGTCGGGCACAGATACATTCAGGCACTCCAGCACATCCACATTGGGCACTCGGGCAGCCTCGTACCAGTAGCCAGAGAGCTGGGGGAGGGCAAGGCAATAAAAATTAGAACAGCGTTCCGGGTTGAACTTTGATTACGTACAGCTGTCAGATTGAAGGGGAACCCTATGTTGTCGGCACGACAATTCAACTGCTTTGGCAATGTCGGTATCAGGGGTAGCCTCATGCGAGCCGCTTCCGTTCGCTGTGGCATGCCGCAGCAGCAGAGCGCCACGAAAAGTGTCACAACAAATGCTTGGGTCTCCATTTCGATCCGCTCACTCCGACAATCTTCAGGCAACTGAACTGAACGCGCTCTCAATCACACACACACACAAGTTTCAATAATCTCATGCTTATCAGCTTGAAATATGAAATACAATTGGGCAGTACAATTGTACTCGTACATACATAATATATATGTATGTATACATTAATAAACATTTCTATGGATACATACTTTTGTGCTGTTATTCTGGGAATGCGTAAAAAAACTACTATTTCTACTGTGGCCTATCTGTGGCATGATTAATTGGGGTGGATCTGTTTTTATTGCAATCTTTTCATGATTTGCTATGACCACTATAAGGACATATTCTGCTGTTCAAACAAAATGCTCAGCAATCAGGCAAACTTTAGATTTGTTGTCGGGTTTGGTAGCACCAGGAAATTATTATTAGAAAAAAAGTAAACCGATAAGTGGCAAGTGACTGTTCGATTGATTACTTAAAATAAACTTGAGATAGTCTGCAGACGTTGTTAAGTTTATTTGCTGCCTTTTTATTGTCTCACTACCAGTGTGCACCTTTATGCAGATATAAATTATCTGCCATAAATTATAATAGTCCCCAAGCCATTGTGCATTCTATTTATAAATATTTATACCTATCGTTATTTGCTTCCACTTTGAAGATTGTTCGATAATGTACTCAAAAGTCTTCAGCCAACAAAATGTTATACTCAAATAAAACCAATTTTGTGAGTGTGCAGCGAAGAAAAATCGAAGAAAATTCCTGCGGACACTAAAGAAAAGTCAAAGGTTTTGTGGTTTGGTGCTACAATGAGCCAGAAATGCTGGTAAAAATCACATGAAAATCGATTTGACGTTTAAAGTGAAATTGCACAATGTTTGCAGTAAAATATCGCCGATGCGCTGCTGCCATCTCGGTTGCAGTTGCACTTCCAGTTGCATTTGGAGTGTGAGCAAAAGTCCTGGCCACACTGCTGAAATGACGAAGATAAAAACGCAATCAAACAGCAACAAAAAAAAGAAACAACAAAAACGGCAATGGCATCTGTTTGTATTTGTGCAAGTGCGAGCGTGGTGTGTGTGTGAGAGAGAGTGAAATGCGGACGAGTGTGAGTAAATGCACTCGAGCACGCGCTAAGGCGATTCAAGTAAGAAGAGAGTAACAATGCAGTGACGAATAAGGGAGGACTTAGGAAGTGCAGTTAGACTTTAAAACTCCATCCACAAAGCTCCAAAAATACTTTGCACTAATAATTACCACCTTAAAAATTGAGAATTTGGTGTTAAAATTATCAGAAAATTCTGCAACAAATCACATAAATATCAATTAACAACAAAAGACAATTATAATTGCAATAATTATTTCTCTCCTTTCCAGCTGCTTCTTCCTTACTTTTCACTCCTCTGCAGTCCCATTTGCTGCTCCAAACATTTGAAATGCTTTTCATAATTCCCTCAATTCGCATACTCCCTTTCGATTTCTAGGGTATGCTTGGGCAAATGGATAACTGTACATGCGACATCGATTGTCGCTGCGCTGCGCTGCGCTGCCAACTTAACTGTGTTAAAGAGTTGTCATTGTGTTGTTTGCCGAGTTGTCGTTCGTGCGTTGGTCTACGCCTGTCTGCCACTGCCATTGCCACTGCTTGCATGTGTGTGGCTGGTTGGCTTTTGTAACTGTAAAGATATTGCAGCTGCAACGTGTTGAAGTGGCGCCTCGGTAAAATTGTGTCAAACTGTGATTGCATTTTTGTGACTGACATTCAATGGCTGTGGCTGCTTGGCTGTTTGGCTTTGGCAACTCTCACTATCTCTGAAGTACTCTCCACCTACCCAAACTTTGGCATGTTGTTTGGGCGTGCCTGGAGTACTGTCAGGGGGTTCTTTTTAGCACTCCCCTGAGTGTTATGAGATCACAAGGATGTGTCATACGTAGGACTCTAAAGTAGTGCTCCTGCAACAGAGTAATAGAGCGCATAAATGGCCGCAGTTAATCAGCGAATATCAGGGCGAGAAACCTCTGCTAATCCCAGCGAGAATCAGCGCCACCCAACCCCAGATTGGCCCGCCAAAACCCTATAAAGACCCAAGTGTCGCGCAATTAACTGAGCAACTTTTTAAAATCTCCCCAATGAGGGGGGGGGGGGGGGGGATAGAGACCAATACACAAAAAAAGAGAACAGGAAACTCTCCCCTCTTGGATAGTGCACCTTACCAGACCAGTTCCCGTTCCCTGCCCAGGGCTTCAGCCGGATACTTGGGTTATGATTATTACTTATGATAATTCAACTTGACGGCGCAAAAAGAACTTGACACCGCCACCAGCACCACAACGGCAGGAACAAGAGCGAAAGGACCTTCCGCTGTCAAGACGACAACAAGGGGAGACATTGGGCCACTGTTAAAGGGAAAACCAACCCCCGAGGGTTTGGAAAATGTGGGCAAGTGGGTTTTATGTTTCGTTTACTGCAATCGAGACTCTGCTGCCCTGCCCGGCCAGGACGTGTCCCAGGACGAACATGAAAAACTCAAACTAGAAATGAAAACGAAACTGTTGCGTATTTTGCATCCTCATCCTCGTCGTTTATTGTTTTCCCGTTGTCTGCCAAGGGGGGTGCGAGTGCGTCGCATTTGCACCTTCAATTAATATACTGAAAGTCTGGGCCCAAAGCAGGATTCAACCCTCGTTCCCTGCTTTCTTGACTTTTGCTCCGTCCTGCTCTTCTTTTTTTTTGCTGTTGTGATTTATGAGGGTGCGCTGGCAAAACAAAATTAAGCCAACGAGCGAACGGAACGGAACGACATTTGGCGTCAGCATCTTAGAGAGGCAGGCAGAGAGGTTACTGCCACAGAGGTTTGAACTTTTAATTAAAAGTCACTTTTGATTTATAATTGGTGAGCGTTTTCCACTGACAAGTTTTGCATAAACAAAGGGACAGGCGCCTGTCCAGAGTTGTCAAAGCATCAGACTAAACAGAGTTGTTCTTTAGATATCAAAGGGAAGCGCACAATCAATCATTTATTCCTAGATCTTGCTTGATTTTTCTATTTCGGTCTAGATTGTATCCTCGTAAGCTCTTGTTATTTCCTTGGACACTAAGCCTTTATCGCTTTCTAAAATGCCATAAAATTGCCATTCTCCTGTAATAAATTCCTGGGGGAATGTACTCTCAATAAATTCCTTAAAAAGAGAGCAGACACCACGCATATTTGGTAACCCTGACAATAGACCGTTTGTTGCCATATTGTCGCCGAGAAGAGGCACGTGACGCACGGAAAGAGATACATGGAGGGGTGATGATGATGCCCGGTGATGTTTAGTGACGCGTGTCCCGTGCATAATCAGGATTTGCATGCATCAACTGTAACAGGAATGGCAATGGCTATGGCATTATGTGCCACAGAAATACATCATCAAAAGAAGGCAGACCTAGCACCGGACCAGTCCATCTTCCAGAAGCAGAATGCTTCAGCAAGATGCTGTCACAGCGGCGATCGGGCAATCAATTCTGGTCCCCAGGCATCAACCACCAGAGACACGGCTGCGTTGCACGTTCTCTCATGCGTGAACTGTTTGTGGCAAACAGAGTCAGTTGGGTGGGAAAGAGACTCAGACAGGGTCTCATCCCAGAGCCAACAGTCTGACAGTCAACCTTGACGACCGAAAGTTGCATGCGCTGCACATTGGACCCTTAACCAAAACCCCGGCCGCGTGTCCTTCTAATAAGCCTAATGCATGGGAAGAACCCAGGGACAGGGTGTGGGCCGGAGCTGGAGGTTACACCAGAGAGATGACAATATTGGTAATATTTTAAAGTGGATGCCAGCCACACGACCCTAGGCCGACGTTTGTTGTCATAAAGGAGACCTTTAATTAAATTCATATTTGGACACACAACATTGCTGATTTATGGTCGAGACAGGGGAACAGGGAACACAGGCAATGGTGTTGGGCATGGTGGGGGAGCAGAACGCGTGTCGGCGGCCATTGAAAAACAATAAGGAGACTCATAATTGTTTGTATTTTTGCTAGCATTAATCTAATTGGATTGCCAGGGAGATCCCCAAAGAGGAACTTCGGCCAGGTGGCAGCTTCTGCCAATTGTTAATTAAAATTTATATTTGAATGGAAAAGCGGATAAACGAATTGATAAAAGATGCTGCTAAAAACGGTTAGCCCTTAGCAAATGGTTGCCTTAATCTTCTCCAAATGATCCTCTGGCCCAGCGTTCCTTCAATAGTCTCAACGGAACTCTGTTCCCCGTTAGAAATTGACCCTCTAAGCTGCCGCATATCTAACCTTTAGTGGGGCTTTGAGTGTTGCTTTCCTCTCTCTCTCTCGTGTGTTGTGTTCATATTTGCATAAGCGGCTACCTCAAGCATATTGCGTCCTTCGTTTGATGCTGCTGCTGCTGCATCATGGTCGTCATTACTCAACTTCTGGGCCCTGAGTAAATACCCCGGCACTGGGGCACTTTACGACTGGGCGTGGCTGGGTGTAAGGTATGGAAGGTAATGCATGATGCTTGTACGTAGAGAGATGGTCGTAAACAGCAACTGCTGCTGCTGCTGCTGCTGCTGCTGCTTCTGCCATGCAGGCGTACGTGTCGAGCATATTGAAATTGCTTCCCAAAATCCAGCGAACTCTGCTGCCAGTCAGCAGTCAGCAAGGTTGGGGCAGAGCTAAAGGTGTGTTGAAATTTGAAAAATGGTCAAAAGTTGTTGCCTGTTTTTGGGCTGACAGGCCCGAAGGCTCACTTCTACCTATAGCTACAGCTATATATGTATATAGATATATGCCAAAGATCACGCGCGCGTGCTTCCTGCTCGAACATAACGCAGATGCTTAACCCAGTTCCAGTTTCAGCTCTGGGATGCTCTTCCGCTGCACTCTACACACTGCACGTGAGTCCTGGCGCTAATCATTTGTCTTCCTCCGAATGCATTTTCCACTTGGCAGCAGTGCAGCAGTGCAGCAGTGCAGTGGGCAAAAAAACGGACAGCAAAACGAAGTTTCCATTACGCACTGACAGCTGATTGCTAAGTTTATTATTGCCTTTTCGTTTGCGTT